GACCGGGGGGCCGCATCCCGGGAAGGGCCGCTCGGGAGGGGTGGGTCGGCGGAGGGTGGAACGCAACACCTTTCCCAACACCTGCTGGGAAAGGCGGCCCGGAGCTCGCCCCTTCCCCTAGCGCGCCCCGGGCCGTGCCCCCGCCGTCCCCGCGGTAAAGGCCCGGTCGGATGTTCAAGGCCCGGTGGGACGAGGGGCTCCCAGCGCAGTGGCCTCAACGCGGCGGTTCCTGGGAAAAGCACCGTTCTTTGTCCCTCGGTTCCATTCTGTGTCTCTGTTTCCTTCTCCCGTTCCCTTTCCTGCTCCGCAGTCACACTGCTCATTACATCTTTCTGTGGCGGGTGTCTGCGTCCCCCGAGCTCCTGGGGGGCTCGTCCCCCAGGTTTTAGCTTTGTTTCCCTGTGTGTTCCCACTCGCACGCAGAAGAGCTTCGCGTCGTGCTCCGTGCCTGGCGCAGGCTCGGAGCACAGCGGTGCGCTGGGTGTGGGGCATCACGGATGCGGAGGATGCAGACACGCTGTTGCTGTGCTTTCAGCCGGGGACCTGCACACCCACTGTTCTGACAGGAGCTCTGGGTGTTCAGGGATCTGGTTCCAGGCTAACACGCTGTTTCTATTGTTAGATTATCTAGAAGGAAGAATAGCAGTCTCAAACTGGTACCCTTCGTGCGATGCTCTCAGCGACTCCGAAACAAAGAAAACCTGGAACTAAGCAGGGCTGAGCTCAAACAAGCCTCCCCACCCCAACGTGTGACGAGATCCCAGGCTGCGATATCCGCTAAAAGCTCAGCGATCCTTCCTGAGACCCCTCCTGCCCAGCAGGCAGAAGGGAAGGTTCCCTCAGCAGAAGCTGGTGTCAGCAGTTGCGTGAGCACTGAGCTTCGCTTCCAGAAGAGCACACCTAAGCCAGCAGAGCAGCTCTCCACCACCATCGTCTTGGGCTCGGATGATGATTCTCCGGAGGAAAGCCGGGTTGCCAGATCACCGCCTGCGCCTGCAGCCTCTGAGCTGCCGGTCCCTCGTACCCCTGAGGCACACGATGCGGGAGAAAGCGAGGCTGCATCTGAGCTGCAGACAGCAAAGGCGGCAAACACCACTGTCATTTTAAGCAAAGAGCCGGGGCTGGAGGAGGCAGATGGCTCTGCTCAGGTACAAGACATGTCTGACACGGTGCCTCCCCAGCTCATAAGGGACAGCCCAGGGACTCCAACAGGCTCCAGGCGGAGCCGCCACTCAGTGCGCAGAAGTCTGCTGGGTAAAACCTCCATGACTCGCAGAACCTCCTTGGCAGAGAAATACTCGCTAGCCCGCAAGAGGGAGAGTATGATCCAGAAATCTATCACCAGGGCAATGGTCAAGAAGAAGGCAGCTCGGAAGTCGTCCGTGTCCTCCAGCTGCATGGATGGTAAGTTTGAATGTCGCCAGATGAGTTTGCTGGGCACCATTCCTG